GAAGGAAGGAAGTTGTTTCAAAGTATCCAGTGACTCACCTCCAATTTATAGAGCAAATGACATTTCTAAAACCAAGCAAAAACTTCTATTTAAAGTGTTCTTCACAATGCCAACCCTAGAGAGCGGAAAGCTGGTGTTTCATGGGGACAGAGCTTCAGCCTGGACTGGTGAAAAGACCTCTGCAGATGGACAGTGGCACAACACTGTGAATGTCCCTAATGCCACCGAACTGTGCACTTACACACAGTTAAGATGCTAAATTTTAGGTTACATATATTTTACCATAATTTCTGTAAAATGCCCAACCTTGAGTCAATGAGAAAGGGCCCCGAGGGAGTAAGTGTAGAGTTAACTCCCAACAAAACTGCACTCCTGTCATGCCAGGAACAGGTGCCTTTCAATCTCCAGAGCTACTAGATTAAAATGCTCCTAAGACTGAACACACTCATTATTCACTGCCTCCCTGCTTCCAAAGTGTGCTCAGTTAATAAGTGTCTAATCCCATTTTAGGAATTAGCCTATAAACGGCACACATTGATGCCTCTCCTAGAGAAATCTCCCCCACATTGATCCTTCATGTTTTGGGGAAATCCAGACTAGCTCACAAGGCCTCTCACTCTGCACGACCTGGCTTTAAACTTCCCTATCTGCAGAACCTCCTCCGACATCTCCAGTCTCTCCTCGGGGCCCCGTGCACTCAGGGCACACCTGCGTTACAGGACGTGTCGGCCGATGCTGTAACCTTAGTTTAGGTGGCCATCTTCCCCGCTCGACAGCAGGGGTGTGAATTCACTGTCTGGCACAACGTCAGGGTATAGCAGAGGCTCAGCAAGTTCAAACGAACAGAGTCCTCACAGTGGATGCGTTTCCAGCTGTCCTCGGATCCTGCTCCTAATTGTTGATGTGAAATGTAGCTCTGCACTGCCTTCCTGGGACTGGTTCTTGGATGGGGGCAATTTTAACAGTTCTACACTCTTGGAAGAACTTGAGGCATCAGTCACTGACTTAGATGAATTAGTTGTTCACGGACATTACAGAAACTTCACTGGATGACATTAATCCCCCTTTTCAGCCAAGGAGATAAACTGACCAGAGAGGCATTGATTTAATAGTCAGAAATCAATCAGAGAACAAAGAAAGCTGGATTATCTAAGCATACCTGGATATAAGAATAAAAACTTAAAGTGTATCTGATGTGTTGATCTAAGATTCTTCACAATCCCCTTGTGTTCCCAAAGGTGATCAAGCTTCTCAGATGTGAGAAGGCCTCCCCCGCAGTTCTCTCCACAGCAACTGCATCCACAACCCTGTGTCTGGTCACCAGAGGTCAGTCTCTCCCAACACTCTCTCTAATCCACTTCTCGCTGTCTCCAAAGTATAATGCCCACCCCCAAAAAAGCTTTTACTCTTTCTTCCCACGCTTATGGGTTAGAGTCTCCACCTCTCACTGTCTCCAACGTCCAATGCCCACCGCCAAAAAAACCTTTACTCTTTCTTCCCACGCTTATGGGTTAGAGTCTCCACTTCTAGCTGACCCACTTGTCCCTCCACTGCTTACGGAGGGACTAAGAGAGAAACAGAACCACAACTGAGGATGGCTTCTGAGTCAAAATCTGTTTCTAAACCTAAGTACGGCCCACACGGCCATGGGGCGGGAACACATCAGCAGTGAGGCGTCAAACCCAGGCATCCCCAGGCCACGGGCCCGGGAAGTCGGGGGCAGCTCTGCAAAGAATGGGAAGGAACGGAGTTGCCCTGGAATTGCTCTGTCAAAGCTGAACATGTGTGTCCACTCAGGAAACCATCCGGACTCTCCTTCATTTGCTTTTAATTTGACACACACTAACTGTTGCTTTGGGCTGGACGGAAGTGTGGGCGCATACCCCTCCCCCCACCCACGCGGTCAGCAGCCCCTTACCTCCCAGGCAGGCACCGAAGGCCAGGGCATACATGAGCGGCGGCGTGGGCAGGCCGACCTCAGGGTCGCGGCTCAGGTTCAGGAGCACGGGAATCTGTGGAGGAAAAGGACATTGATGCCACGTCCCATGGAAGCTCAGAGAAGCTGCCATGCTGTGACCAATTTAGAAAATCCAAATGCTTTCTCACCTTTCAAACTCTAAGGAGCATAGGATTTATGGAAAGAAACCAAAGCAAACTTTGGAATCCACAGTAACCTGAGTTTAAACTCATCTGTATGTCTTTGATACCAGCTGCCACCAACTGGTCCTCCTGGTCCTGAGCCCCACCAGCTGCTGTGGCTTTTATACGGGGTAAAGGCACATAGAGCCTAACACGGTGCCTGAGAACGCACCCATCAAAGCAGAGCTCATAGAACCCTGCAAGTGCTGTGCTAACTATGCACACGCCATCTTGAATCCTCAAACATCCCTCAAGTGTGCTGTTACTCCTTCCCTTGACAGACGAGCAGACCAGGATGCAGAGAGGCACAGGAGCACAGACCTCAAAAGCAACCCAGCCGGAACTCACACTCAGTTCCCTGACCCTACTGCACACTGGGTCCCCTGTGCTAAGCGACTTCTCGCGGCTGCCCCCTGCCAGGCACCCTGAGCCTGCTAGCCATTCGCAGCATGATGACAGGTACCAGGTTCTACAGCCAGGAAGCACCGTTCTCTAGTCAGCCGTGCCAGCCTCTGGTGCAGCTTTCTGACATTGATATACTTTGCATTACTGTAATCAGTGAAACGCAGTGGCTGTGAAATTTCTGTAAGAAATCTGTGTTCAGAGAGCTGCCCCCTTGTGGCTTATTGCTACAAGGAGCCGGGAAGGACACAGCCGTTGAGCCTGCCTCCGGGAGACTCCGGAGAACGGCCGGCCGGGATGTTCCCACCAGACGCCTCAGGGAGCCCATGGGGTGTGAAGGAGAGACCCCTGGGCCCGCCACCTCGGGCAGTTGCTTACGTCAACCTCTCTAAAGAGCAGCAGGCGGAGGAGAGCGCCAATGGTGGCCGATCTGGAGAACGTTACACAAACACACAAACGGAAAGCGGACCCCAGTGTGGAGATGTGAGTGGCGTGCAGTATTATTCAATTAAGGGGCAAGAGAGCCGCCCTCTGCTGGGTGCTCCGTCCCCCGATGTCCTGAAAGGGGCGCCTCAGGGCTCACTTGGGAAGATCCGTTCACCCTCAGCTCCTGATCGCTGCAGCAGGATTTCACGTGTGCGCTCGGCAGCGTCCTGCTGGGGCAGGGGGGTCCTCCGCCCCACCCCAGATTCTGGGCTTGCCTACTGGCTTCCTTTGACCGATGGAATGTGGGTGGGTTGGACAGAAGATCTTGTGTTTCTGCATGCCCCTCTGGAAGGCCAGGCTCTCGGCCACAATGGAAGATGGAGCCTAGGCACGGCCACTGCCCAGGGGAGTCCCCATGGCGGGGACACGTGGAGCAGGGTCCCCCCAGCCCCAGCGGAGGCCGGACTAGGAAGCTGCAGCCAGGCCGCTGACCCACGTGCCTGCTACGCACGTGTCTCCACCAGCCCCGGGTCTGGTTCTCGAGAGTTGCCTTGCAAGGCCTACAAAGGAACCCTTCACATTTGCGGGGTCACAAGGGGCGTGTTGAACAGCTCAATTTCTCATTGTCAGTAGCGTCAAATAGACACTGGAAGAGAAATAAGTAACACGCTAGGGAAAGCATCTGATTCTGCATCTATCGATCTGATGCAGAATCAGAAACTCCTGGCAGCGGGGTGCTCCCGCGCAGTCCCTGAGGCACTTTTCAAGCTTGGCTTTTGTTGTCTTACGATAAACGCGATTATCATAGAGGCTCCTTCACACTTGATGTCTTTGTTCTTTGGAGGAGGGAGCGAAGTGAAACTTCTCACCACAGCCAGTCATCAGTGAGCACAGCTAGCACACACACACGTCACTGTGAGGCCACAGGGCCCCGTAGGCGCTGAGCACCATGCTGGTGGTGCAAAGCCAGCCTCTACCCTACAGGACTGCACACGCCCCCCGCAACAAGGAGACAGAGTCAGAACAACTAAGCACAGGACCCTGGGCCCTTGCTGGGGCACTGCAGTCTCAAGGGAGGAGGCGATGTCTTCAAGCTTAGTGATGCAGAAATTCCAGCAAGTGCCCTGTGCTGTGACGTCCATTGTCCAAAGCCAGAGAAAACCTACCCCAGGTTCCAAACTGCATAGTTACAAGTGCCAGATTCTGTTACAGGCTGATTGCTTCAAAAAATATGCTATGACATTGTTTTCAAATCAAGCCCTCTCTGGGATTTGCAATTCTGATAAGAACCAGCTCCCTAAACTCCAGAGTCCAAGGATCTGCCCACAGCTCTGTGGTCTGTCCTCCCGAGCCCTGCCTTGTTCAAGCTCCCCTTCCCACAACGTAATGCACCATTTGCCCCTTTAATTCTGTCCTCCATGCAGCCAGCCATGACCTTTCTGTCTTTGAAGTCTGCCCATGCAGCCGACCTTCACTGCATCAACACTTCCTCCTCCACTGGATGGCTACACCCAGAGCTTCCCTCCATCACTGCATTCGACACCTCCTCCTCCACTGGACGGCTACGCCCAGAGCTTACCCCCATCACTGCATTCGACATCTCCTCCTCCACTGGGTGGGACCATGTTATCTCGTCTATGCTCATTTATTCTTAATTCAGCCAATAATTCTTCATGAATATTCTACTTTGTGTCTGGTTCTGCTCTAGATACAAGTGATAGAACAATGAATATAAGACACAAAAGTCCCTGCCCTCGTAGAGCTTGCTTTACAGTGGCAGAGAGAGAAAAATTTAAAACTAATGAATGACGGCACAGAAGATGGCAGAGCAGGAAGCTCCCCGAATCCACCTCTGCCTAAAGGATGACTGGACTGGCAGGAACTGTCCGAAGCTACCGTGTGAGCTCCCTGTGGCTGCTGTCACAAAGCCCCACGAGCTGCGTACTGAAAACAACAGGACTTCATCGCCGTACAGGCAAGAGTCTGAAGCCAGGTGTCAGCCTGGCCATGCTCTCTGATGGCTCTGGGGGAATCTTTCCTTGCCCCTCTGGTGTCTGCGGCCATCCTGGCCATCCTTGGCTTGTGGGAGCCTCGCTCCGGCCACAAGGGAGCCTTCCCCGTGCCTGTGTGTGTCTGTGCCAAAACTTCCCCTTTTCGTAAGGATATCAGTCATATTGGATTAGGGCTCTCACCTTAGTGACCCCATTTAAACTTGATTACCTCTGTAAAGGCCCTATGTTCATATAAGGTTACATTCCAAAGTACCTGGGGTGAGGACCTCAGTATGTTTTGGGGAGACAATTCAACTCAAAACAGTAACTATTTTGGAAGTCTGGAGTGTAGTCAAACACTTTCGGCAACCAGGGAAAAGACTGATAAAAAGGGTTTTGGTGAATTTTGGCTTTTTTTTAGTGGTTATCATTCCCCATCTCTCATCCTGTGGCAGGAAGCTGTGGGGATGGCAGCTCCTGTTTAGGATGTGACTTGCCGATATCAGAGCAGGCAATAACGACCTTGTCCTCCAAAAGCTGAGGTTGTGTATGTTGACTGCTGGCCACTGTTTTGATCACTGGCCATTGTTTCAACCTCCAAGTGATGAAGCAGCTTCCAGGAAATTTAAAGTGGCAGTAATTATTTCTGTACACACACACACCTAACACACACACCCCTAACACACACACACACACACATTTTTGGGGAGCCAGAAAC